GCGCTCGGGGCTTGGTGCCGGTGGCCGGGCCGCCCCCGCAGGCAGTGTCCCCCGCAGGCCTGCTCCGGGCTGGGCGTCCTCTGAGGCTCCCGGGGGAGCCTGAGGTAGGACCGAGGCCAGCTGGCCTGGTGCGCTGCCCTAACGCCACCTTGCTTCATCTACGATCGCTCCCCTGAGGAAAAGAGCTGCCTTTCCATCTTGGCCAAGACAAAGCCCAAGGTTGCCTGCTCTGTGTCAGGTAGATGATAGGCTACGAACACTCCCCTACCCAAGGAAGCAGCTTGCTTCGAGACGTGCTCGGTGTTCAAGGGTGTGCTAACAGCCTCGAGCAAACAACAGGAGAAATCTAGAAAAGCCCACACAGATGTATGCATTCATGTAGTTGTCCATAAATGTGAAAACCTCGTTCAATATGGACTTCATGTACAGTGCCATAGTGTGATAAAGATAAATATTACGGGTCTGCTTCTAGCTCATTCACAAATGCTGTTCAAAGGTCAGAGGGACAAGATAGGAGCGTAGTAAACTAGCTGCGTTGGGATGAACGAGAGAATTGAGCCTGAAGGGATCTGTCAAGGAGCTCCCTTGTGGTTAGAGAAGATCCCCAAGTCCTACAGTCATGCGCAGTTCAGTGTCTTCACTGCCAATCCTCTCTTTTTAAAGGTTATTTCCTACTTTTATTTTCCATAAGTTTTTTTGATTTCCTCTTTAAACTGTACCCTTTAAAGATCAGTCATTGCAATATTAGACACTGTTTTGTCTCTTCTGAAGAAAATATCCTGCAAAATGGAGAAACACATCAACCTTGACCGAGGTCCAAGTTATTAAAGCAAGGAAGAGGTTATTCTTTGGGGAACTCAGTGAAAAAAAAAAAAGACACAATAGAAATATTAAAGGAGTACTGAACAAAATAAATGGCTTCTTACTTCTCCAGGAGTCAGCCTGTTAGCAGTGTGAAGTATGTGACCCAGGATGCATGAGAGGGGGTGGGAAAAGAAATCAAGATGAATGATCTATGGTAAAAGAAAGCTGAAAGTTTTGGTGCAGGCCAAGATTGTAGATTCTGCGGAAAATCAGTGCTAGACATAGCCTCATCACGGGTAATATGAGCCAAAAAGTTATCTGTCTCTTCTGGCTGAGAGTTACAATACGCAGTACCTCCCATCCCAGTTGCCATGAACATAAGGTATTCTTCCCAAGATTTACATCTTTAAAATATATGAACTGTTCATAAGTGATTCCCAGGCGTTTAGTGTTTCAGATGCTTTTCTAAATCTTGTAGTTGTAATTTAAGAATTTTGGAATCAACCTCCCTGTTGAAATATGGAGCTTCTAGATTCTGTCCAACGGTGACAGTCCTTGTTTAGCTCCTTGCCTTGAGTTCTCCCCAGCACTTCTTCCTGGCTTCCATAAGACTTTTGCACATTGTAAGAAGGAAGAAAACATTACCGGTAAGTTCTGCAAATAGGTAAGAGAACTCTACAATTACACACAACCTACGGGCCATGCGCTTTACACCTGACAGTAGACCAGCCCAGTAGCTTGCTTTCTGGGTTCGTGCTCAGCTGTTGGCCGTGCATTTCAGGTGGAGCTAGTTAGCAGCTTCTATGTGTAAGTTACCTAGCGGTTTATCCGGGGGCATTCTGGTTTTAGCTGTTTACATCCTTGCCAATATTTGACTGATCAGCTCCAACATCTCCTTACTTCAGATGAAAAGTTCGAAATTTGGCAAGGAGTACTGTCAGGTGGCCAAAGCTGCATGCTTTTCAGTCACTGTGAGAGTCATTCCCGTTGAGCTGGAAGCACATGAACAGTCCTGTTCGTGTGTGATCAGAAGCAAGGGCCTGGCATCTAAACTATGGAATGATGTTACCTGCTCAGAGCCTGCTTCGGGCTGTGCCTTGAAGGCTTTAGAAGACTTTTTTTTTTTTTTTTTTTTTTTTTTCCCCTGAACGTTTTTTCCTCCCTGGGTATTTTAATGTCAGATATTGGAACTGAGGGCAAGAAGTTTCTTCGTCTTGGTGGATTTTAGTCTTTGAGTGCTTTCAGTAGGTGTAAGCCTTGGGGGACTGCAGAAGTCACAGCCTGAGAGTCAGGCAGAGGTGGGCAGTAAAAGGTATGGAATAGAGTGCCTGGCCAGCCGTGGCGAAGTGGTTTTTTTCCTCCCTGGGTATTTTAATGTCAGATATTGGAACTGAGGGCAAGAAGTTTCTTCGTCTTGGTGGATTTTAGTCTTTGAGTGCTTTCAGTAGGTGTAAGCCTTGGGGGACTGCAGAAGTCACAGCCTGAGAGTCAGGCAGAGGTGGGCAGTAAAAGGTATGGAATAGAGTGCCTGGCCAGCCGTGGCGAAGTGGTAGAGAGAGACCCATAAGGTGAACACAGATGTTGTCTTCTGGCTGAGTACAATGACGTGGTAGACTGGCAGGGGAAGGGGAGAGAGATTTAAATGGGGAAAGGGGAAAGTAGAAAAGGCTGCAGCCAGACTACTCCAGAATGTGGAGTAGCTCCTAAAAATTGACTTCTGGACGTTTCTAGTTGCTGCTAAACCAAAAGGAGGTCTGATGGCCCAAAATGAGCTTCTCTCTGCAAGTTGTCATCTCTGGAAGAAGATGACAACCCCCTACTGCTACCATATAGTCCAAGTGACTTGAGTCTGTAGATTTTCACTTGGGTTGTAAACACCAAAGGTTGAATTTGTGTTGTGCTTATAGCTTATTTGAGGGAAGAACAGTCCACGTTTGGTGCCTTGTGAGTGTTGATTATGCACTGCCTCTTTGTCCAGGGACTTCTCTGTCACCTCCTGGACTTTGGGTAGAGAAGAGGGAGGGCTGGCTTGTTGTCTGTGAGAGTTGTCGTACAAACTGGCGGCTTCAAGGATCTGAAAGGAAAAGTTAATGGTTAAGGTAGTGAATGTCACCGCGGGACTGGATTTATCTCTTCAGACTGCTGATGGTTTGCTCCTCATTTTGTTTGGAGCAGCTGAGATCAGATTTATACCTTTGCAGGGAAGTCAGTGGGTCCTTTGCTTGTTACCTCGAGAACTCAGGTCCCAGACATCTCAAAATGGATGCCTCACCTTAGTGGGCACCTTTCCCTTTGGTTTCTGTCCTTCATACTTTTGTGTTGCTTTCTTATTTGTCCGATGTGAAAAATACTGCTTCCCTTCATAGCGTTGTTGTAGAGGTAGACCTCACGACTATAAAAAAACTCCTTGATATTTTGTTGAGTTCTGTATAAAGGTGACATGGAAATGATTTACACCAAGCAGGAAGTTACATGGCATGGTAGGCAAGAAGTGTAGCCACACACCCGATAGCAAGACTTAACAGAAATATTGCATAGTTTTCTCTTCAGCTGCTGGAGTAAAAAAGTTTTGATCCATATTTCCAACAGGCACCCTGAAATCGAGTATATAACCAGAAAAAAAAAAAAAGTTGGTTTTTTTTTTCTTTTGGTTTTGCTCAGGTATTAAATAGTCAGCGTGTTCCATGGACATTTGTATATATTGCTGTTTGCTCGGGCTCACTGGAAGGAAAATTGGGTATGATCTCTGTAGAACACTATTAAAACTGCATCTAAAACAAGGCAATGCAAGCTTACTTTGTCTAGGAGTGAATCGTAAAGGTTTTTCTGTTTAGCTGTGAAGGTATTATTAGTAAAATTTGGAGGTGCAAAACTTCCTTCTTGGGTTCAGGTCTGCAATCACCAGGAGCTGGGAATGGACAATGACCTATTGTCTCGAATACTGAATTTCCCCTTTCCCACTGATAGCTGAGGGTCTCATTTTGAAGGGAAGTGTTGGGTGAAATCCTGATTCCACTCAGGTCAGTGGTAAAAAGACCCGAACCAAACAAAGACTATTGAAGTCAGAGAGACCCGGGTCCCCTGAAAGCCCAGTGCCTTCCTTTCATCAACCAGCTGGTTTTCTCACTGAAGGTGGCAGAAGGGCTGTAATCTGTGAAATCACATTTTTTTAATATTCCTTTGCCTTGGGAAGTGCAGATAAAAAAGCAGCTTTATACCCCACCCTCCGTACTAGTATTAGACAAAAACCAGGCAGAAACACGATCTTCTATATAACTAATCAGAATCTTTTTGCTGTCTCCATACATATTTTTCCCAGGGTGCTAGGATGGTAAATATTTTAGCAGAGGGAATTAACTCGACTTCTCTTCCTTTATGTTCTGTTATCAACGCGAGTAGCCCACGCCCTCACTTTGCCTCATTTTTGGCTCTGTTTCTAAACCCTAAAATTCCAGTTCCTGCATTGAAACACAATTAAATTGAGGCTTAATGTGGTGCCTGTTTTATGTAATCTTGCTTTCTGGCTTTTTTTATTCTTCCAAGTCTGAATCTCATGAATCAATGTGTATTCACGTTTCATCTGAAGTGTTCTAACTCTCCTCGGTGTGCCCTAGAGCTTCCCTTTTTTGGTTTATAAAATAATAATAAAAAGCTTAACTCTTCAGATTAAGTTGTAACTGCTTTATACATTAGACAGACAATTTCAGTTTAACAAAGTAAAAATGGTGTGAGAGAGAAATTGCAGCTTGATTTTTTTTTTTTTTTTTAAATATTCAGATTAGAATGTCATCTTTTATGGGTTTTTTTTATAACCACTTAGATTGATACAACTCTCTAAAGCTGCTCTGTTTTTCATCACACATTCTCATCTGTAAAACCTTCATTTTTATTAATCTCTGTACAATCTGTACAACTTCGAGATTAATCATTTTAAAAGAGCTACTCTCCGAGTGTTAAGGATTTGCTGGGCTAATGGTAAACGCAAGCGCTTCTAAATACTCCACAACACATAGCGCTTGCTTGGCGTTTTATGTTGCATGAGTATCAGTCTTTGTTTCCCAGTTATCTGGAGTTACATTTTACGGCTGTGTTTCCAGGTCTGTTTCTGGCTGCCTAGAACCAGAGAACAAAACATACTGGCTTCTTTTTTTCACCAACTCACTCGAATTCTAAATATTTACAGGCCAGTTCTGCCTTCGTGCTGTTCCCACTGAAGTTAAAGGGAGTTGTGTATTTACAGGTAAAGGCAGAAGTAGACTGGGAGGCCAAATCCTTCAGTCCTTGCTCGAACAAAAATTTCTGTTGGATCCTGGCAGGCCAGTCTGGCTGCATCTGGCCTTGCTTCATTTTGACTCCTTTTAGGACTCGTGGAGGGATCAGTCTAGTGTCTCTCCCAACTATAACTCTGGGCCTTACTGGGGATTTTTTTTGCCTTTTCTTCTTTGGTTAATTCAACTGTTCGCCCCCTGATTATTCCCCTGGCCTTAGCTGAATTTCTCCTGGGGGCTGCTCTGCCCTCGGAGCCGGGGAAGACGCAGCGTAGGAGCTTTGGCCGTGCTTTCCGCCGTGCTCCGAGTGCACTTGCAGCAGGGCGGCGGGCGGCCCCGTTGGCCGTGCTCCAGGCTGCTGTGGTGTGGCCTGAGCAGCCCGTCCTGCTGGGAGTGAACGTGCGGGTCCTGGTCCCAGAAGTATCCTGTCTCTCCTGAAGTATCAGTGTTCACCCACCCTGGGTGATCACTGTTCCTCTGAACAGCCCAGTATGATCTCTAATGCATCTACTTTTTAATTTATAATGCATATATTGTTAGTGGATCTAGGGTGTACAGTGTACACATTGCAGTGCTTTGGTGGAGATGTAGGCTGGTATCTAGTCCTGAGGACCTAGCGAGACAATTTTTCATTATTATTCTTATAGATTTGGTGGCCTAGGCGTGTGAGGCATTGTCTCTTTGCCTAGTTAAATGTAGAGAACCTGCCTAGAAAAGATGAAGGTTAAGGAATCTCCTTTCTCTTAAGATTTCCATTTACTTAATGTACTGCAGTTACAGAGTCATCATTACTTGTATTGCTCATCTATGTGGGATTGCGTCTGGTCACTCTCTCTTGTATGTAATAAAGCAGGTGTTTGAGTTTCAGTGATGTATTACAGAGATCTATATCGGTTCTTCTATCGGTGCTTTTAGTTTAGTATATAAATTGCAGCAGTATGAAGCAAGCCAACTGTGCAAACTGCGGTGTACGTTTTGTGGCATACATCATGGATGCACTGAGTAAAGGGGCTGGAAGAAAGAAAACTGTATTTCGCAGTGAGGTTGCTGCCGATGCAGAGTGAAGGCTGGAGTTCAAGAGAGCAGTGGTGTAGGGATGGTTTGTGAACCCTCCTCCTTCAGTGTTCTAGTTTCTCCTCTGACTGGAAAGAACATTCACCTGTTAATTTCCATCTCCCTGAAGGCCAGATTATTCCATAGCGTTTCATAGTGAATAAGTAGTATTTTAACCAAGAAATCTCACGTGATCCATTTTGCTGTCATCATCCATATGACCACGCTGAGTACCAGCCAATGTTGATGGAAACATGCCCAGTGTAGAATGGGAACTGGGATTCCTGATTATTAAAGCATCTCTCCTAGGGAGCTGCTGAAGTAGATGGCTATTCATTACTTACTGTATTACGGGTCAAGAGGCTCAGAAAACAGGTTTTAATCTGCAAGGCTTTGCGGTTGTATGTACAGTTTTAGTCAAGTATAACTAGAAATAATGGGAAGAAATATGAAAAGGACTGAAAGTTGAGGAAGGCTTCTCGACTGTGCAATGAAAATCGAGACGGAGATCATCTGGAGGATCCCTCCCATTCATAGAGCCATTCCTTAGGGCACAGGCAGGGTCTTTGTTCTGCTTCTTTTTCCTGGGAGGAATTACTTCGCAACTGACCGATCTTGACAAAAACGGTTATCACCGAAAGATGAAAACCATGTGAATTTGGAGAGAAAGTTAGGCTGTGCGCTATGATATAAGCTTCTACTGCATATTCCTGTTCCTCCTTCTAAAGTTTCTGCCCTGGGGATTCTTCTTATCTTGTTTATTGTAATGTGTGAGGTTGCTAGCACAGGCGTGAATGAGAAGTTTCACGGTTACTCAGGGTGACTAATGCTGAAGTTCCTATGTACCCTTGATTTGCTGCTGTATTACATACAGACCAGCATCAGCTTCTACTGCAGAACATCCTCCTTACAAATGGCAGTTCTCATTTCGTCTCTGTTTTAAAACGTACTGTTTAATTTGTGATTAGCATGGGTATCACCAGGGATTGGGTGCCTTTCAACCTTTTTTTTTTTTTTTTTTAACTTCTATGGACTTGCTGCCTTTCAACAGAGAGGAAAATTTGATGCTGGTGGGAAACCTGAATTGAGCAAATGGTCATTTGTTACTTGTGTTAGGGAACAAAAGGCCGCATCTGGGCCCTAAGCAGAGAGGAGACCCTATTTAGTTGGACATGGTACATATCTAGGGAAGAGTTTAATCCACTTAGATCAGGTAGCGGTATCTTCCTTTCTCTATTATTACAGATAATGCTCCAGATCAGAGATACTTTCTTCCCACCACCCTATAACTTACTTCATTATGATCACTTGTTTGCCGCTTAAAATTGAAAGAAACCGAGCATACCTTCCTAAAAGGTGTAGCCCTTGGCTTGAGTAGCCAGGTGGAGCCAGGGTTTGAATCTGGTATTTTAAGCAGCAAAGGCTGCGATCTAAAGGATCAGTCTAAATCTGCCAGGTGGCAGCCTGCAAGCTGCTATGGGACGAATGATGAGGAATGCGACCCACACTCTGCAGTGAGAGCTGTTCACAAATACTGCTCCCCTCCTGTTTAGCAAGGTTCACAAACCGTTTAGACATCTCCCGCATTCCAGTTCCACTGGCTGTTCTGCAAATCACTTAAGAGGTTTAAAACTTCCTTGTAATTCTACTCTGCACATGAACTTTGAGTGAAGAGAAAGGAAGGACTAGTGAAATGAGAGTCTGGGCCTCAGGGACCCCTTCAAATTGCTATTGCAAGCATTTGGCGAAGACTGGGATAACATCCTATGTATCCATCTTTGTCCCTAGCTGTGTGCTCTTGGGCTTTCTTCTGGGCTTTCTAATTTCTAGTGCAGTGTAAAACACAAACACTTACCCTTGCCGATGTATATTAATACATGTGGCAATGCACACACTAATGTAATGTACTTGTTTAAAAATAAAAACAAAAATTTATTTGCATATTGTTGACATTAAGAAGGTTGCAAACAGGAAACTCAGCAATGTTCCTAACAGTCTGGACAGGAGAACTTAGGATTTTGAAGAATAATTGGATAAAACATACGGTTGTGACACCCCAAAAAACCCCAACAAAGGTTTCAAACTTTGAAAATTATTGTGATGCTGCTGCATGAGGAATCTTGAAAATGTATACCTGTTAGGGATAGGCTGGTTTTGATTTTTATATTTTATTTTTATAAAGGGTTAATTTCATCCTGCAAGCTGATATGTGGGATAAATAGTTTGGACACTGATTTGTAATCTCTGTTTATGAGTACATGACTGCTATTCTTATAAATGTCATCACTTTCTTGGTAGTATCTGGTAATATCTGAGTCATGAAGTGCTGACAAAAATCCACTGCACTTAATGTGAAACTTGAGGCATTTTGCTCATTCCAAAAGATATTAGCAATAGCCAGCCCCACATTTAACTGATAAATAATGTGTACATGTGCACATGACACAGTTATGCTGCTATGTGGACTTTCTCCTCTTACCTAAAAATCTATGTGGAAATACATCAGAGTTCAAATCATGACTTTATTTTTTTTTTTTTTTACTGGACTCTCTTAATGGATACTAATAGAGGTATGTATGGAGTCAGCGCATTGGGCCAGCAGGAGCACATCCATGTGAAGGCAGAGCAGGCTTCCTTTGGTGAATTTCATTTGAACTTGGATATCCTGGCTATAAAAGCAAACTCTGCGTATGTTATCACTGATTTTAGAAATGAAACCTCTCACATGGAGCTGAGTACTGAAAAATATTTCATTTGTCCATTATTCCCCTCTTTATTTACAGCCATACAGCAGGATATGAAAATGAGAACCACAGCGCTCCCATGTTGTACAGCTGTGGGGCCCAATACAGAATACACACCCATGGAGTTTTCAGAGGCATACAAGTGAGTATGGTAGGATATTCATCATCGGGAATTAAAACTGCTGCCTGCTTATAATGTTCATTTACTACTTCACCGGTATTTATAGATCCATCCTTGGTTGTGATTTCCCTGTGTTGTCAAGAAATGCTTTACATAAGTGTCTGGACTTCACTGAAGCCATTGAAGGATGATGTAAGATTTCCCACTGACAGTCATTTAAAATTGTTTATTTCTTCTTCTAAAATATATCTGTGAGGCAATATTCCTTACCAGCTTCTCAGGATGGTCCAAAATATACGACCCGGTTTCCAACTTCTAGCTGCAGTCCCTTTGGCTGTGTGAAGCTTCTGTGGTTGTGATGGGCTACATCTGATCACTGCGTATAAGAAAGCGTTAGATGACATTTTGCTTTTACGATTTCTGAAACTTTACTAGTTCAAACATATTTCCTTAAAACAAAAAATAATAAGCAATTGTTTCCTAACGACTAAGCAATGAGTGAATATTTGTAAGGAACTTACCATTCATGGGAGTTAATTTCCTCCCTTTCTGAAACAGTCGTATCGTCGATAAATGCCACTGTAAAAGATAAAAGTTTTTAAATCTGGTGGCAAAGTCATTCCATAATAGTTGCCTCTTCTGTGTTGCTCCGTGCTGTCAACATACATGAATGTTTTGAGATCACATCTCTTCTCCTTTTCCTTTTCTGTATAGTTTAACAAGTCATTATTCAGTAGCAAGCTCTCAGAAATAGGCTTGTGAGCCAGCTTTTGCTGAGTGAATAGAAGTAAGCAGTTGACATTGTTTAGGGAAGGTAATTATCCCAGAAGGAGAAGATCATCTTTAATGGAATATTGTGACACTGGCCAAAATGCATTAGGGCTGAACTATTCACCAGCTCCACCTAGACGGTCTTTCTTGTTTTGTTTTTTACCAATTTGTATTAACCCAATACATTAATTTCCCTGTCCTTTAACTTCATATGAGTATTTAAAATAAAGAGAATGCTACTCTGGCTTGTGCTCTTATCTCTTACACTGGTATAAGCCTAAAACTATTTCATATGCTAATGGCTGTTCTTCCAGGATTGTGTGATTATATATGAGGTCAGAATGTGGCCCATTTTATCTTGCACGTAAATATTAGTGAGAGAATTCAATAAGTAGAGTTCACTGTATTTCACCTTCAGACAGTTTTAATACTCTGCAAAGAACAGATTAAGGTATGCTAAGGTTGTACTTCATTAATGGAGAATAAAATAAAGTTACCTGTTTGCAGTATAAAATATTTAAGTATCTCTTTGTCGCAGAGAAATGCCTCTGTTTGTCTTTGAATATATTAAGAAAAGCCTGAGAACCAAAATGTTGCAGTAGCAAATCTCTGTCATTGTAGGATGTCCGACGGGTGCCAGGAGTAGCTCCAACTATTGTCCGATCAGCAAGCGAGACAAATGAAAAACGTCCCTTCATGTGTGCGTACCCTGGCTGTAACAAGCGATACTTTAAGTTGTCCCATTTACAGATGCACAGCAGAAAGCACACTGGTAAGTGTCACCACGGTTTGGTATAAATCACGTTACAGAACTGGACAGCAAAGTGGGCAGGGTGATTTTAAAATAGCGTAAGGAGCAAAACATGATCTGCTAGGTCAGGAGCAGCGAGAGTCTGTCAGATGAGTATGTATGTGCTCTGTCATCTGGGCAATCCCTCTTTTGGATGCAGAAGAGACTGAATCTGGTGAAGAAAAGCACAGAGCAGCGCTGACAGCAAGTAGATCTCCTCCCTCCCTCTATTACTGCTATGGGGCATCGTTCAGGGCTATGAATCGTCTTCCTTTTTTTCTTTTTTCCCCACCCCCTCATTTGGGAGCATCAAAGCTTGCTCCAAATCTTAACTGTCATTAAGAAGTTTCCTCTGCAAGAGGAACCTAGACATTTAGCATCTTCTTGTTCTCCTGTGTAAGCCTTTTCTGGCTGGGAGGTGGAGGCAGGGATCGGTAAATGAGCTTCCTTGCTATGGGATCTTTCCATAAAGAATTGAGCCTGAAGCCAGCCATTTGTAGGCTGAGGTCTGGGTTCTCTCTGAGCTCAGACAATGTAGGTTACATCTCAAAATGTGCAAATCAAATGCTCTGCTGCACCTTGCAAAGAGTAAACAGAATTATTTCCCCTATTGGGAGGTTTATACTGTTGGAACTGTAAAATTATGATATAGCTTCAGATGTGCTCCTTCTGCATTTTTTTGATTGCCTATCATCTTTTTATTTAGACAGTTCTTTCTGTGCTGATCTAGAAATCTGTGGATAAAATCTGTAAATATGGGTGTTCAGTTAGCCAGTAATATGATGGAAGGTCAAAGGGATGAAACAGACAACAGGAGGGCAGTCCATACTGCTGTGACCTAGCAGATTGTCTAACATTTAATAAAAAATAGTTGCAAACTTTTCCTTTTGGAGACTATGAAGTGACATTAGTTAATTGCATAAAATACTTATAGGTGAGAAATGAACATTAGAAAGCATTTTTAATTTCTTAAATGGGCAAGTCACAAAATATTCAGATACTTCAGTGTTGCTCAGATTTCACATTCAAGATAATGTAGATTGTGACTGGAATTTAGTCTTTAGAGATGAAGGTCTACAGGAATTCTGTTTCTGTAAATAAATTGGAAACAAAATTTGGAGATTTTGGGGGTCCATTAACTGCAATATTTTTCTCAAGTATGCCTAAACAGTTATGAATTTTTTTCATAGTCACTATTTCTTTCATTCCTAAATTGATTTACTCCGTAGTTTAACAGTCATAATTTGTTTGTTCTGGTCCTGTATTTTATTCCATTTAGTGGCTTGGCTTTTGCAGTATTATTTCTGGATGCATCACAAGGACTTCAACTTATATCTTTGTTTTTCCTGAACTTGAGAAGTCTTTCAGAATTATACCACATATAATCTAGGTGTGTAGAGGCACAAAAGCCCCAGAAGGCATAGGGGATAGGACTATGGCCACCTAACATCCCTTGAGAGACTTCTCCCATTGTCTTTAAGGTCATACATGCCCCTTCCTTGGTTTATGCTATAGTGGCACAGGGTAGAGGAAAAACACTTTTTTCTTTTCAAACATCTCTTCTGTACAGGTGGGCCCAGGTCTTTCTGCCACTATATTTTGATATGTTGACAACAAAACTTATTTATTTCTCAAATCTCTGCAAGTTACTTTCCGTAAGAGGCCACCTTGATTCCCAAAGCTTGTATTTGCTGATACAAACATTGCCATTGATAAGACCATGTAAGCTTTCAAGGTTGGTTGCAGCTAAAGAGAGGAAGCAAGGGCTAGTGCACTGCTGGGGTGAGAATTGCTTGGGTAACTTGCCTGGCTGGTGCATTGAGATTTAGGATCAGAAGGGAGTTCTCCCCTTTATCAGCCTGGCAGCGTTTCGCCCTCAGCCTGTTGTATGGGTACTAGCTGTTTCCTATGATTATTGTCTGGAAATTTGACTTACCAGCTGCTGTAGAGGCTTAGAATATGATGCTCTTCATTTCTTGTCTCCTTCAGTGGTCTGTTAGTCCTAGTTTTGGGGAGTGCTTGGTGAACTATACTGTATGGGAGCATGGAGTGGATAGTCTATGAACGCTTCTGAGTTAACGTATACTCTTGGCTGCTTGGTGTGGTGGAGGGTCTGGACTTGCTGGCCATAATGGTCTTTTTCAGTCCCATGCTCTTCAGGAGTCCTGGGCAGTTGAACTCACTGTTGTGATGCAAAAGCATTTCCAGTCTCCTTTGTGACTTCATGTCTTTGTCTGTCTAACCCTGATTTGTGTCTCCTCTCTGTGGAAAAGCTCGTTGTCAAAAGCAAAATTTGGAAACCAGTTTTCTCGAAGGGCAGATCAGTCGTCACTATGAAGAATGCCTGTGTCTGGTTGATAGCAGTTATAGTAGCTACAGTTCACACTTCTCTGCACCTTCTTTCTTTTTTCCACCTGCTTGTTTTGTATGTTAGGGGCTATCTTAAGGGGCCAGGATGACTCGAGTGAAGCTGTTGATTTATATTGATAATTATGTGGCTATCTCTTAGGCTCTCTGATCATCTTTCTGTTCATACCCAATGAACCTCATTCTAGAGTTCTCTACTAGGTACAGAATTTGGGTTTGTTGTAATTAGCATATTAGACAAAGTGGTTGGCAACCATAACACCTAATATTTTCACTAAACGAAGGGATGTGTCTCTTCTTCGATGTTTTGATGGGGAGGAATCCTGATGAGACAGTCTAAAGTCAGGATTGCTGGCAGATGTCAGGTCAAGTGGAGGGTCATTTGGTTGTGTTTGGTATACCTCTCTACAGCCAACACAAAATTTTAGTAGTCCTCCTGTAAGGTGGTTCTGGATTCACTCATGGTTTTGAAGCGCTTCCACCTTTCTCAGTGTAGTGGTAGGTCAGTTTTTAAAATTATGAACACATGATTTGAAAACGAGCTGTTAACATGTATCTACTATTAAACCAGCAGATAGTATCTTTGCAGAATAATGTTGGCTCTTGTTTATCCTTTTTCTTTCCAAAATAGATACTTACAGAGGGCTGGCTCATCAGCTCTTCCGTTCTTCCCTGGTTGCAGTATTGCAAAATCAAGCAGGGCCCTGAAACACAAAGTTGGATTCTGTAATCAGTTTTTACCAATGTTTCAACGTAGCCTTAGTTGAAAATATGTTGACATTTTGTACCCTCCAAGAATTCTTATCCATTGCTAACAATGCCTTTATTGAAACATGTACAGGCAAAAAAGCTTTTTTCTTATCTTGGTGTATTTTGCTGCTGTAGATAGGCCTCTAAGAGGAAATGAAAAATACATATAACTTTTCAACAGTACAGCAACTAATGTGAGTTGTCATCCTGTGACAGACTTCAGAGACTTCTTTGCAGAAACAAATTGATGTCTAGACCTCCATAAATTTCATTTATGGTGGAAACATCAGCATTCTTGCCAGAGACCCTTTGGGTTCCAGTGCCACACATTGGAACAACTGGATTTATCCAGGAAAGCTGAAGATCTTTGCAGAGAAAATATCTACTGCCTGTTTGCTAGGGATATTCTTCAGTCTAAATGTGCTCAACTGCTGGTATGAGCTTCTACAGTGAAGTATGAGAATCTGTAAATCAGGAAGGTTGTCCTTTATGTGGTAGGGGACTTTGGTCCCTCTGGTGAATTTCTGAGGCTCCAGGGGGGTGTAAGTAATGCAGTCTAATGATGATTTTTGTGTTAATCATCTAACAATGATTTCTTTGCTTTGTCAAAAGCAAATATCCTTTTACTATGGCATGTGCCACCGTGCTGCTAAATGCTTTACAGTCATTAGTGCAGTTCATCATCACAACACCTTGGAAAGACAGAGCTATGTCCTCTATATACAGAGATGATAAATTGATAAATGAGTGCAATTGCACCTGAGCTGGGAACTGCAGAGGCTCTCCTCTTAGGACTCTAGTGTGGCAACTTCTAGGATAGCCCTCCATTAATGTTGCTTTGAAATACTGACCTTCCTACTGGAGCCGTGGAATACCATTCTGCAGAACACCCTGGAAGCTGAAAGCTTACGTGGGTTTGAGAAACAACTAGAAAAATGAAGGGAACGAAACTCCATTAACGAGTGTTAAATAGAAAGCCACCTTTGGCTTCTAAAGTTGCTCACTCATGAACTGCGAGGTACTAGGGTAGTGTCAAGGAAAGTACTGCTGCATCCTTGCTATCTTCTGCTCTCCTGCAAGCATCTTCAGTGCACCATGGTTGGAGACTGCTGGGCTGGATGGACCTTTGGCCTCACCCAGCATGGGCTGCTTTTAGGCTTTCATTTCTATGGAATAAATTAAGAATACTTAATGTATTTAAAATACAAGATTAGTTTCAAAACAGTAATGACATCTCACACCTGAACTGCAGTGTGAAGATGACAGAAAACATGACCTGTAAAGGCTCCCTACTAAATAAAGAAACATATGTTTTTTCTAAGTTTGCTAAAGCAAATTATATTGAATAGAAAATATTAGCAAGGTAAAGTTGCATTGATGGGGTTGTGCTCATTTGATTAAGTGGACGTACAAGAAAAGGGGTTTAAACTGGTGAAGAGAGTATAGGCAAGCCTTCAGATTCTGATTTAGACTTGCAGTTTCAGGTTTCCAAATCACCCTCCTCTGCTCATGTTTTCTTGTTAGTGGCGGGCTTTTGCTCTTGCAGCACTCCTTAATTAAATGCAATGATTATGAATATTTTGTGCAACCGCTGGAGCAGTAGGAATTTCTGTTTTCCCATGCACTTGGGCAAATGAAGTTGCTCCAGAGAAAATGTGCATGCTTCCTCCAGTTTAAGTTAACTGTTTTTGAGCAAATAGGTTTATTTTATTAGAAGCATTTATTGCAGTATGTGCAAAGGCTGATTCATACTTGTTCTGTGATTGTTGACATTTATTTTTTCTTAATATATTCCTAAATATTAAAGAACTGTTATTCCTCTCTATCTTGCCTCGTCTTTCATTATGCACTAAGTCTAGCCTTTCTTTTGTTTGCCCTCTTTCCGTAATGAAATGTAAATAATCATGGAAGCCTCTGAGTCACAGGTGGAAAGACTGGTGAAGCTTCATCTTCATCTCCTGTTTTGTTTTGAAATTTTATGTGGTCACATAGGAAGGTGACAGCGTTATGGGAGAGTCTTCATACATTAAGAGACTTTAGCCTTTACTGGAAAGGCTTTAATAGGCCTGAGGAAACTAGACACTGCTCTAACCCCTCTCTGTATGGTGATTTAATGAGGTACTAACAGACTGGGACATTTTTTGTTGTCCTGCTCTGATGAAACTTCTGGGAGTTAACAGGTATGTGCCAGTTGGCTTTGGCAGGCATTTTGCTTGGCCCTAGCTGACATGGAAGATGTAGAAGGAAAGGGAAATTAGGATTTCTGTCCAAACATTGTGCCTCTTTTTGTTTGTTTGCTTTTTTGTTTTCTACACAGTGTCATCATTTCTCTCTGTAAGCATCTTGGATTGATTCCTTTAATATGTGCATTGGTTAAATTTGTCCTTAATTTAATCAGGGTTATGTTTCAAAGTATTCAAAGAAATACTTTCACGTGCATGCCATCAGACCCGCTATACTGTTTTATTCAAATACCTCCTTAACCATCTTCTGCGTTTGTATTGCAATTAGCAGACAATCATCCTGTCACTGCATTCTGTTCTGCTGACATTCCCCCTCTTAAATCTGCCAAAGGGCTGAATTCCTTGGAAGTAAGTGGTTTCTGAAAAGCAGGCACCCCCTAGGGAGTCCTTGCGGTCAAAGTGTATGGAACTATTTCAAACACCTGTGGCAACTTTAATCCCTTATGCTAATAAATTAAGCACAGCAGACATGGAAATTGTCCACACCTAGGTTTGAGAATCAGTAAACTCCTTTGGGTGACTGTCACAGGAAGTTAGCTTGCTCTTGCAGGCTTAGCTGCTTTTGTAAAATTCTGATCTTAACTACACCGGTATGAATTTGGAATGCTGTCCTTGATATGCTACTTGTACTGTGTCACCTATGTCAGAAGGCTTCTGCTTTAAACTAAGCTAGTTTGCATTGGTATCTCAGAATACCAGTGCAACCAGAATACATTTCCTCATCATAATAAAATCAGAAATGCAGACACTGGCAATAAAGATTTACAAAAGTGATATGTGTTGAAAAATACACGCAGAGACGTTAAACCCACTGCCCACTTCAGCTGAAGTTTTTCTTTAGGTCCTTCCTACCGGACCTTTGTTTTACATTTCCGCTTTCCACCGTAGACAAAGCAGGTCCCAGCTGGTCTCGTGTGTACCTTCCAGATAAAGACCAGGATCCTCCCCGCTTTGCAGTGAGAGATGTTTCATTACTTCTTGTGCTGAGGCCTCTGTGCTGGGCTGTGGCACCGATACCCGACTTTATCTAGGTATAAATGTAATTATATCTGAGGCTTTTGCCTCAGGATTCCAGTGTTGTGCAAAGGGGCCTTAGACTAGATGCGAATCAGATCTGAAAGATCATACAGCTCCGCCTGTTAACAGCATAAGGATTATTTGTTTTTTTGCTGGCCAAATTTCACCAACTCTGTGGTGTGCTACATGCCAGCAGTGTTTCCCTCTTTCCTCAAGCTCCTTGCTTGCTGCATTTGTTTTTGCATGTTTATGTGGTCGGTGAAGTCCTTTGCATTGAAAACCATGTTCATTTGAGATACTAGCTTGTAGGGATTTCATTTTTTTAAAAAGTTAGAATCTCACTTTTCGTCCCAGAGAAAACCTGTCCTGAGGATCTCTGTTGAACTCTATGGGAGGCGGAGGAAGAGTTTATATTTACATGAGGCTTTGCAATAGTTCATAGGCTTGCCTGCGGGAGGTGTGCAGCTACATGAGAAATTCTATTTAATGGTGCTTTATGGAAGAAACATAATTTGGTTTTTGGGGAGAAATAAGTATTTTTCTGTGGTTGCATTTTGCTCAGTTTCTTTTAATTCATGTAGTGTGGTTAAAATTGCCACCTACATGGTTGTCATTTGTTTAATTTTTGCTTTAATCCAATTTAGAGGAAACTGCAAGTGGTTCCCTTGTTCAAATTATGTATTACTGAAACAGGTGGCAAGGGCTTAACATGGTTTTCAGAGAAATATAAATCAAGAGATTTCTGTTCTTTACCAGCAGAAAAAAATAATAAAAAAAAAATCATACAACCTGAATTTTTTTTGTAGCTTTAACCGCTTGGGCTCTTTTTCTTAGAATGAGCAGGTCCAGTATCAGTGTAAATGCAGTAGAATTATGCCAGCCTTTCCCCACTGATTCCAACACAGCTGCATGGTTTTATAGCAGATGAGTCCTGGTGTACCACTGAACTGCTTTAGACAGGAGAGAAGCCCAAGTCTTTTAGTGTAACCCGTTTCATCTTCTGATTCTAGGTGACATGTTCCCTCATTTAGCCACATTTTCTGATAAACCGTTTGTCCTTTACAGGTGAAAAACCGTATCAGTGTGATTTTAAGGACTGTGAACGAAGATTTTCTCGTTCAGACCAACTCAAACGGCACCAAAGACGACACACAGGTTTGTTGGCAGCACATTAGAGTTCATCTTTGTATGTGAATTGCAATCCAAAAAGTATACTCTCAACTTCTATTTTCCTGTTGTTCTATCTGAGTGCCAAATTCTTGCAGTTAGCTTTAGGAGAGGACTGTGGCTGTGGGGTTTTTTGTTGGTGTTTCAGCACTTTATGGTTGCATAAGTGACCCTTTAATCCTGCTGCCATCTTTTTGAAACAGCTTATTAAATGAAACTGTTTGCTCTATACTGTATCCCCAATATAGGGAATATATTATTTTTAAAAACCAAACGGTTCTGCAAGAAAAAGTTGCCAGTGAGTAACCTGATAAGCGCTACTGTTGGTATTCTGATGTTTGTGTGGCAATGCTAATAGGTGAACGCTGCCTGTGCATAACCCGAAAGGCTGGTGGAATTACTGTGCATTTGTATGCGGAACACGGAAGTGGAGAAGCAAAAGTCACAGCAGCTGTAATGGTTAAGACCCTAATTCAGCAAACCACTTCAGCTTAGATTTGAGCCTTTCTTGAATTCTGCCAGCTAAAGAAGGATTCGAGGAGCAGCAAGGAGAGAAACATCAGAGATCTGGCTGGCTGGCTGGCACAAACAGCCTGGGAAGCATATAGCAGTTCACGTACGGCAGAGGGGGCAGCAGCAGTCATGGATGGCTCTGGGTCCTAGCTGAGCTCATGTATCTTTCTCAGGGAATCGTTTACTGTGTGAGATGTTCCGAGACAGCCCAAACTACTTGTGAGTTCAGTCCAAATTCAGCAAGTTGTTTTTTTTTGCATACACCATTTTCTGGAAACATCAAGGAGTCCCATTTCAGCATTTCAGGAGTTCTTGGAGGTCTAGATTAGAGTGACGGGGAGACAGCTGCTCTTCTCAAAGTCTCAGAAGAGGAGATGGTGATGACTCCAGCCTCCTAGCTGGGAGTGGAACCATGAGGGCACTCTGCATGGAACATGAGAAAGGGCTTCCCAGTACTCCTCTGACTGAGTCACAGCAAGGAATTGTATTTGGGTCTCCTATGTCTCTGGAAGTGCCCTGACAATTGGTTTGCTCACTGTTCTGTGGTGGATTTGGGCCTACTACTTTTCTTGCTAAAGGTGTTCTATCCCACTTAAATGGCGTTACTGAGAGAGGTAGGAAGCGTCTCTGGAAGCTGGTGGTAAAAGTATTGGGATGTCACATTTTTAGCAACTGCGTGCTAGAACATAGCTGTGTTAAGCAGTCTTTTGTGTAGTGTGTAAAGTAAGTGTAGAAGTGTAAAGTAAGTTAAGCCTATTGGGAGTGTAAAAAATATACCTCTGCACCTCAATTCTTCTTATGTCACACTCGCTCATACATGATACTGATAGTGCCAAGCCACAGGATCAGAATTAACAACGTTTGCAGATCCTCCTGTCCTAGTCCAACAGTGGAAGTGGGTGTTTGCTTATGGTGGTGCTGTTTGGATGCTTCAGACCCAGGTGCTGGAAGAGGCGGTTACAAAGGGATGGTGGCCTGATTAATCACTTTCTGTAATGTGTAGGCATGAAGCTGGGAGGAGCAGTTACACTAATCAGTAAAAAACCCCAGGCTTTTGAAAATTCAATAGCTGTTTCATTCACCCTTCTGAAAGGTGCTGGGATATAAGAACAGGTATTTTTTTTGTCTCTTCAGGTGTGAAGCCCTTCCAGTGTAAAACCTGTCAGAGAAAGTTCTCCAGATCTGATCATCTGAAGACTCATACCAGGACTCATACAGGTAAAACAAGTGCGTAAACTTTTCTTCACATTTATATTTCATTATTTTTTAAGTTTAAATCAATGTTGTAAATTACTTGATTAGAAAGTCTCTTAACCAGGAGTTAAATATGCAGAAGAACAGAAAGAATTTTAGAGTCTGCTGATTTCTCAGTGTGACTACATTCCCCAAGCGTCATAGTGACTTTTCACAAAGGGATTTAGGTGATTTTGGAAACTATGCTTTCTTCCTTCACATTTAAAGAAATTTCAGCTTGGCAAAATATATTTTGTCAGCTATTGTGAAATGAACATCATAGTCTCAGCCCACAAATGTCAAGTTGATCTACTACCCTTACTGAAAAAACCCTACAAGATAGAAATTTTAATTCTAGCTTCAGCCGAAGGTCTGTAATCTAAAGTATTCGTGCCTACTCATGCTTCTCCTAAGTGTCCGTTGAGCCTAATGCAGGATAGCACGGCAAAGCTCTTGCTGTTGCTGCTCGTACTGTAATCTCCCCAGGAGATAAAAGGAATGCCTTTTGCAAACTCACACTGACAGACACTAAAGTAAAAGCTTACTCAAATATTCAAGGACCTTTTTGTAGAAACTACAGTATTTCATATAAATACAGGGAAAAAAATATGAGGCCATTTTAGTTTACTCTGCCCTCGCATAAATGTAAACACCATTAAGGAGCAACTGCAGCAACCTCTATATTTCAGTTTTAAGTTTTAGAATTATTCCTATGAACTGGCATTTTCTGTTCCCTTCCACTATGTATGCAGTATTTTTACCAAGTAATTGTTTGCTGAGCACTTTGACATGTTATTAGATGTCACAGTGTTTTCTATACTGGCGTTAACCTTTCAAATTCAGTCTCTGTACAGATGGACAAGGAGCCTGAAAATCTTTTTCTCCCTGCTAAGGATTCTTTTTTCTCTTCTGGACCATAAAAACACATATTTAAGACTTTCAAAAATAAAAGAGAAATTTTAATAAAGGAAATGATTCATCTGAGAACAATGGCATTTTCTGTGGCACTGGCCAAATAAATACTTCAAGTAATGGCCATATCTACACTTGCAATCTGTAAATGGTAAAGGGCATGGCTGTGTTCCTGGGTTCTCCCCATAGCCTCACGCTGAGCTGCAGGGCCTAGGTCTGTGTACATTTGCATGAAGAAAGATATTTTCTTAATCAGCAACAGGTACCATTCTGGTAGAGACGAAACGGCAAGGTGTTGTCACATGCTAGCAAGCCAGGATAAACTGCATTCCCCATCACATTTCATTGCTAACTGATCTGCTAATTCATTACTCTTATGAGTCCAGTAATTTTTTATCACAGATTAGCTAAATCAGTGAAGAACTTGCTCTCTTTTTTCTGGTGAAACTCATCTCCCCATTCTAGTTCTTCCTTGCTCCACGTGATCCAAGCCCACGCTGCACTCATTGCTGAAAGCAGCCTCGCTTGAGCACTGATAACCTCATAGCACAGCCCTCTGCGTGGGCTTGCTGCCTGCCACTGGCTCAGGTCTGGTGCAATCTCGGCAGCCCAGCTGCGTGCTGCTGTGATGGTGCTCCTGTCAGCAGTTTTGGATGTGTCATGCTCCTTTCCCTGTAAAATACACATATCCTGAGGGGAATGAGCACGAGTGGTGGGTGGGGATTTTTCATCTCCATCTTGCCCTGTATTCCTCTTTCTTTCCTGTACCCCCTAAATTTTGCAGCAAAACACCTAGCTCAAGTTGACTTGCTCCATGTTAAATCTTGATAAAGCAAAGCCCAGGTGACTTCCATCTAATTCCGTCCTAATTTTAAGTCAACTGCCAAACTATTTGTTAAGCTACAAATTCAGGACTTTTTTGTCTCTGCAAGCAATTATACTGTGACAGCAATCTTTGCTGTAGAAAGCAAAAGAATGAACCAGGGGAAAACTCCATACTTCTGTACACATTTTTATCAATGGAAATGTGGCTTCTGATATCTGTCCAGTGAAGCTGTACGAAGTAATTTGTGCCCAGCACAGAACTAATAGGGATTGCTGCCCCCTGTTGCGACGACAACCAGAATTGCTTGTGAAACAGCAAAACTGTGCTGCTTTTGCTGTGGTGGTTCAGGGAAAAACTGGCCAGTAGTAGATAACTCTCCTCAGTTCACAGGATGGTTTTGCTAATGCTGCTGAGATGAAAGAAGACCACTTTATACAATCTGTGACTGCTATCAGTAGCTCTGACCAGATCAATTTTGTCCCATACTGTTTTATGCACTCATGTGAGATAGTTGTTGCTTTTGCCAGCATGTATGTTAAGTGGATAAAGTAGATTTTCAACACACAGCCCCCCCTTAAATATATTGCACAGGATCTTGAAAACAGAGAAATACACATCTATGCCAATCCCAGATCTCCTTTTGCCTGAATTTGGATGTTTATGAAATGCAGAAAGTGTGAGGCAAGGAAGAGGAGAAGATGTCTGGGTGAGCTCGTACCACCCCAGTGTGTTCTGAGTTGAAGAGTACGAGGTGTGTAGGCAGCACTGAAGAGCCCAGCCCCAGAGCTGAACCTACTTTAGAATATGACATCTATTTTGAGGAAGAAAAAAGAAAATGCAATCCTAAAAGAAACATGAATCACCGGGCACTATTCCACTTAAACATTGTAGAAAATTGAGAGGCCAGATTAAACTGTAAAAAGGTGATGGCATTTCATATTAAAATTGAATGTGCTTTGCTTGGGGTCATTTTTAGTGAATGTTATGCTCATGGGCACATTAGAAAAATACTGAATATTTTGAACCTTTAACATGTCCCATAGATGTGAATCTACTTTATTTAGGCAGTAGTGGGAAACTTTCAGCCTGGCTCAGCAGCCTTCGTGCTGAAATCTGTTGCTTCTACCATATTCACTTGCACTCGCCAGTTTCAAAGAACTTCAGCCAAAACTCATTGAACTAGCTGGAAAAACTCCTTGGCTTGAGGTCAAGCTCTAAATAGTCACTGACCATTTTCACAGCGACTAACAGCATGTCTGCACCACACTCCAAGGTGTGACTGAGGCTTGCGCGAATGCCAGTGTGACTTCTAAACTAGTTCGTTCGAGAGCTGAGAGTAGAATAGATGTGGCAACAAGGTGTTCATTAAGGGCCTGTCTTCAGGAATGAACCACTGCAAAATGTTCTACGTCATCCAAAAAGGCTGTTGTTAAAGATCAGCTGAGGGAGATGTAAGAAAGCACTGAGCGCTGATGTGAGCAGGAATTGAGGGCACTCCCACACCCTCTCAGGACAGCCTGGGATGCCTTTCCTCCTGACAGGGGCTCTGCCTCCCCCCTCACAACCCTGTAGAAAGAAAACAAATAGCAGTGCCTCAGGCGAGCTGTATACCCAGTTAATAACAGGGTGTTTTGTTAACAGGTGAAAAGCCTTTCAGTTGCCGGTGGCCCAGCTGTCAAAAAAAATTTGCCAGGTCTGATGAATTAGTTCGTCATCACAACATGCACCAGAGGAACATGACTAAACTGCAGTTGGCCCTTTAGACAGTTCAAACAAGTGAATAAACCAGATGGGACATTATGAGCTACTGCAAACTTTATCAGCCATCTTCGATCACCTCTGTCAGAAAGCTGCAGCTGTCTTCGCATCCCATTTGACACAAGTTAACTAAACCGTAGGATTCTGCTCAGCCTTGTCTTCCATTTGGACTCACACAAGTTCCTATTCAATAAGTTCAAGAGATTTTTATTTGTAATTTTGTTCAAAAGTAAGCAAGATTGCCACAGTTTCAAGATTCCTACAAACTGTGCTTACCTTCCACGTCTGTCTCCAGTTTTCTGTTTTTATTTCCACTAAAACTTTCCTAGGTACACATTGTTGTACCTTTTTAAGTCCTGCAGCGGGTAGGGTGAATCTTCCCTGTTGAAGGTAAGCTTTACATGTACCCCATCTGTGCATACGCTGAGCTTTCCAAATGCTAGTACAGCTATCCTCACACAATGAGATGGAACAATCACCTGAGATACTTTTGGTAAACTTTGTACTCTTACTGCCAAAGGGCAAGCTTTTAAAGTTGGAAGCTCTGCTTTTGAATTTCACAAATCAAACCTTTTTTTAAAGGACGTATTTCTAGAGGAGCTAAAGCTAGATGAACCAGAGCCTCTCTGTACAGAAAATAAGAATCTTACCATTAAGTTAACTTGTTTTTTAAATAATCACATAATTGATCCCCCCAAACTGCTTTGTTTGTCAAATAACTCTCTCCCTTTCTCTCTGTCTTTTTAATGTGTTGGTTTAAATTTATTCTATCGTGAGATGCATAGATCTCCTTTACACAAAACTAATTCCAATCATTGTAGACATTTGGGATTTGTTTACAATGTAAAGCCACACTGGTTATGTGGCTAGCAAGCTGTATAAACTTAAAACTGAACTTTTAATGGGGCTGGTCCAGGATCTCCATTAACAGATTACTCTTAAGATAAGTAACTTAAAAGACTCTTGGTCAAGTATATGTGAAAAAGACATTATTAGTGTAAGGAAATATATTGGTTCAGGGTTTTGGGAGGAGGGGATTTATTATTTACTTTTAATTGCTTGAAATTATGTGTATATATATATCTGATAATGTATTGCTCTTAGACATCTAAAATTAGAAAGTGTATAAATATTAGATGCATCACTGTTCTGATGTTGTTGCTGTTACAAACTATTGATAACACTAAGAATGTAACCTGCATTTTTCACTGAGCTTTCAATTAAAGCCCATTCAAAGAGAAACAAATGAGAGTCCAACAGATGTCTTGTTTCATGTCTGGTATTAAATTTCAAATGCCCTGTCCAATAGTATCCATTTTTTTTGTGTGTGTGTGTATAAAGGTACCACCAGCACTGATGACCACTAGTTAACCTGTCCAGGTCTTGACCACAATTTATCCATCTCACTTGGGAATCACACTGGCAGCAGCAAACAGTGTCAAGTTTCATATTGTGCTATAAAACAGTTGCTTCAATTGTTCGTCTTCTTACCAAACTATTCCTTTTCCTTCGACCCATAAGATTTGTATAAGAACTTTATAGAATAGTAAAACCCGGTTTATAAATAGCAGTACTGGCCTTCTGTAGAACTGCCCTGAAGCCGTAAGCACAGACAACTTCTTAGATTAGGATGTCACAGACTGACTTCTAAGTAAAAGTTAACTTAGAGTTGGGGAGGCTTAAATCAGTTCAGCAG